TACATTAGCCAAAATTAAAATGAAGGAAAGAATCCTGGAAGCAGCAAGAGGTAAGGGGACAATCACCTACAAAGGAGTCCCCATCAGGCTGTCAGCAGATTTCTCAAAAGAGACCTTACAGGCAAGAAGGGGCTGGAAAGAGGTATTCCAAGTCATGAAATCTAAAGACCTACAACCAAGATTGCTCTACCCAGCAAAACTTTCATTTAGAACGGAAGGACAGATAAAGTGCTTCTCAGATAAGACCAAATTCAAGGAGTTCATCATCACCAAGCCCTTATTATATGAAATGTTAAAGGGACTTATCTAAGAAAAAGAAGTTAAAGAAACATGAACAGTGAAAGGACAACAAACTCACAGTTATTAACAACCACACCTAAAACGAAAGCAAACTAAAAGGACAGCTAGATCAGGAGTGGAAACATAGAAATGAAGATCTTAAGGAGGGTTAGCAACAGGGGAGGTGGGAGGAGACGGGGGGAGAAGGTACAGAAAACAAGTAGCATAGACAGTAGATAGAAAATAGATGGGGGGGGCAAGAATAGTATTGGAAATATAGAACCTAAAGGACTTGAGACACATGGACATAAACTAAAGGGGGGTAATGGTGGGGTTGGGGGGCAGGGTGGAGGGGAATGAAGGGGGGAATAGAACAACTGTAACAGCATAATTAATTCAAAAAAATAAATAAATTTATTTAAAAAAATGTAAAGAAAGAAAAAAAAATTCAGTTCTGTTTATTTTCTAAGTTGAAAATTTACCATTGGTGTTAGGCTGAAAGAAATGTATTTCTTTCCGCCTAGTTATAATAATGTCATACATTTGCCTTAAGAACAACTTGGTAAGTACAGAAAACCAAAACCAATAAAACAATCATGACCCTCCCCACCCACACACCCACTACTAATATTTCATTGTCTTTTCTTCTAGCTCTTGTTGATAGATTTGCTTATTTAAAATATAGTGTTATTGTGTCCTATGTAAAAATTTTCACCGTATAAATTCTCTTTATCACTGCATTGGAAAACCAGGTAAATTGCCATACGCCAGGCTCTGTATAAGCCACTTTATTTGCACTCTACTTCATTCTGAAAACCTCCCCATGGCCCTGGATGGGTGGGCAACTTGGTTGGAGGGTCATACCGTGCACCAAAGGGTTCCGGGTTCAAGTCCCAGTCAGGGCACGTACCTAGGTTGTGGATTTGATCCTCGGTCGGGGCACGTATGGGAGGTACCTGTGGATGTTTCTCCCTCACGCTGATGTGTCTTTCCCACTCTCTAAAATCAATAAACATATCCTCTGGTGAGGATTAAAAAAAAAAAAAACAACCTTCCAATGAACACCCCAAAAGCATATAATATTGAATGTCAACTATAATTGAAAAATAACTTTTTCAAAGAACATTGATTCACTGATACAAATGACCTATATTTGAGGCTTAATATGGACTCTCCTGCTCTTCAAGTACTCATAAAAATTCTTAAAATCTTTTTAAAAAATCGCTCACTGGAATAAATCCTCTTACCACCCCCAACATACATGAGAAAGCTGAGACTCCAAGTTGATAAAGGACAGAGGTGGGGTAAGAACCCAGGCAGCCCAGCCCGGGGACCTGTTACTCACCACTGTGCCTGCAAAGCATAAACTGAGCTCTTCTCTGTGACCAGCGTGGGAGATGGAGAGTGATTTACTTTTTTCCCTTTACAATAGTGACATTGAGAAACTCACCCACTCGTGCCTACACTGTGATAATATCAGAAATAGTATAAACATTTCTTTTTTAAATATATTTTACCAATTATGCTATTATAGCTGTCCCATTTTTTTCTCCTCTCTACTCCCTTCCCCCTTCCTCCCACCAGCATTCCCCCCCTTAGTTCATGCCCATGGGTCATACATATGAGTAATTTGGCTTCTCTATTTCCTATACTACTGTTAACTTCCCCCTGTCTATTTTGTACCTACCAATTATGCTTTTTATTCCTGTACCTGTTCTCCCATTCTCCCCACTCCCTCTCTCCAATGATAACCCTACATGTGATCTCCATTTCTGTGATTCTGTTCTTGTTCTAGTTGTTTGTTTGTTTTTTGTTGTTTTTTTAGGTTTGGTTGTTGATAGTTGTGAGTTAGTTGTCATTTTACTGTTCATGGTTTTGATCTTTTTCTTAGATAAGTCCCTTTAACATTTCATATAATAAGGCCTTCGTGATGATTAACTCCTTTAATTTGACCTTATCTGAGAAGCACTTTATCTGCCCACCCCATTCTAAATGATAGCTTTGCTGGATAGAGCAATCTTGGCTGTGGGTCCTTTCTTGTCATGACTTGGAATACTTCTTTCCAGCCCCTTCTTGGCCTGTAAGGTTTCTTTTGAGAAATCAGCTGAGAGTATGATGGGAACTCCTTTGTAGGTAACTTTCTCCTTTTCTCTTGCAGCTTTTAAGATTCTCCCCTTATCCTTGATCCTGGGTAGTGTAATTATGATGTGCCATGGTATGTGCTTCCTTGAGTCCAACTTCATTGGGATTCTCTGAGCTTCCTGGACTTCCTGGAAGTCTATTTCCTTTGCTAAATTGGGGAAGTTCCCTTCATGATTTTTTCAAATAAGTTTTCAATTTTTGTTCTTCCTCTTCTCCTTCTGGCACCCCTATGATTTGGATATTGGAACGTTTAAAGTTGTCCCAGAGGTTCCTAAGCCTCTCTCATTTTTGAATTCTTGTTTCTTCATTCTGTTCTGGTTAAATGTTCGGTTCTTCTCTGCTTCAAATCATTGATTTGAGTCCCGGTTTCTTTCCCTTCACTGTTGGTTCCCTGTATATTTCTTATTTCAGTTTGCATAGGCTTCACTTTTTTCTCTATTTTGCAACCATACTCAACCATTTCTGTGAGCATCCTGATTACCAGTGTTTTGAATTGTGCGTATGATAGGTTGGCTAGGTCTTCATCACTTAGTTCTATTTTTGGAGCTTTAATCTGTTCTTTCATTTGGGCCATATTTTTTTTGTCTGGAGGCACCTGTTATGTAGTAAGGGGTGGAGCCTTAGGGTGTTCACCAGAGCAGGGCAACCCACAAGTAGCTCTTTTCTTGCGCTATATGGGAGAGGAGTCCCAGAGGGAACAATGCCCTGCTCAGTTCTTGGCAGGCTTTCAGTCACTTCTCCCGCTTCCCACAGCAAATTGGGCCCTTCTGGTGCTGGTTCCCAGGTGAGTGGGTTTGTGTACGTTCTAGGACCCTGTGGGCCTCTCCAGTGAATTCTCCTGTGAAGCTGGGAGTTTCTCCTGCACTGCAACCCGTACAGGTTTTTACAACCAGAAGTTTGTTGTTTTTTTTTTAATTGAGTGAGCACTTTAAAAAAAATTTTTTTTTAATTTATCTTTAGAGGGGAAGGGAAGGAGAGAGGGAGAGAAATATCAATGTATGGTTGCCCGTCGTATGTCCCCTGCTGGGAACTGGCCTGCAACCCAGGCATGCGCCCTGACTGGGAATCGAATCGCGATCCTTTAGTACGCAGGCCCGTGTTCAATCCACTGAGCTACACCAGCCAGGGCTACAACCAGAAGTTTTGAGTCTTTTCCCGAGCTGGAACCGTGGATCGCATGGTTTCTCACTCCCCAGTTGTTCCTCCCAGTTAATCTGCATGCAAATGTGGGACCACTCAGTCCTCCAGCTGCCTCCTTGCCACTCATCCTCTTCTGCCCTAACTCTGTCTCCACCCCTCCTACTAGACTGAATGAATGTTTCTTCTTTAACTCCTTGGTTATTGGACTTCCACATAGTTATATTTTCTGGCAGCTCTGGTTATACTTTGGTTTTATTTTAAAAGATTTTATTATTTATTTCTAGAGAGAGGTGAAGGGAAGTAGGAAGGAGAGTGAAACATCCATGTATGGTTGCCTCTCCTGCACCCCCTACTGAGGACCTGGCCTGCAACCCAAGCATGTGCCCTGACTTGGAATCAAACCCGCAACACTTTGGTTTGCAGACCTAGGCTCAGTCCACTAAGCTATACCAGCCAGGGCTATTTTTGGTGTTTAAATTTGTTGCTGTCCTTCTTTTGGTTGTACAAGTAGGCAAAGTATATCTACCTATGGCTCCATCTAGGCTAGAAGTCCAATAATCATTTCTTTAGCCCTGTTTACACCACACTATCCTAGCCACTTTACTCTCACTGTCTCTAATCCTCAAAGGAAGTCTTGAAAGTTTTTGTACTGTTATCACCATTTCACCATTGAGAAAAAGGCTCAAAGAGCTCAAGTAACTTATGCATAGTCACAGAGCTAGTGAGTAGGTGAGTTGAGATTCTAACTCCGTGGTTAGAATTCGCCATTTTACTACATCTTCAAAAAAAATGTCCTGAGACCCAGATGAAAATGAGAAGAGAATGGTCCTTTGCCATTTGCATATTAGAGACATTAACATGTTTCCCTGGCACCAAATTGACTTGATCCAGAGAGCATCATATGCATGTTTGGGTTGATTCGGGGGCAAAGGTAATATGGAGCCATGCAGGTTGATCTGACACAGGGTACCTCAAAAACAAGACTTCACTCACTTACTGGATCTGCTCTTGTGGGAGCCTCTGAAATGAAATGTTTTTATAAAACACATAATTTCCTAATGGAAAGGAAGATTTGTTTGGGCAAAATGTGTTATATACATGAAATACATTTGTTATTGCCAACTTCAGACATTTTACTGAACCAAGAAGCTAGTTTATTTGAAGTCAGACACACTGAAAGGATTTTAATTGAGAAATTGAGGCTAGAGAAATTACATTTTCAAAAGAAGTTAGTAAAAGAGTAGGATCTAGAAATCTCTACACCACCTCTCAAGTCTGTTGAAATTTCCACTACATTATTTTGCTTTACCTAATTTTTGGAATGTAAGTTTTTAGAAATCAAATTTGTCACGTAAAAATCAGCTTTAATTGAATGGCAGTAATCTCGAATACTTATTAAACTATTTGTCTTGTTTCTGTTGCTATCTCTCTTTTTCTAGATTTAATGATGCTTTGCAGCAGTTTTCTAAGTCTGAAACTTTCTGTGCCTGTGGATCCCAGAATTTGCTAAGAGATGGAGGAGTCTCAGCAAAATGATCTGAACACGATGACCCTTGAGAAGGATGACCCTCTCGAGAGCACCAGCCCTCAGATTTCTGTTAGTGAATTTTCTTGCCACTGCTGTTACGACATCCTGATTAACCCCACCACCTTGAACTGTGGGCATAGCTTCTGCCGGCACTGCCTGGCTTTATGGTGGGCCTCTTCGAAGAAAACAGAGTGTCCAGAATGCAGAGAAAAATGGGAAGGTTTCCCCAAAGTCAATATTCTCCTCAGGTATGCTCCGTCCATAGTGGTAGCACATACAGCTTGTTCGATGTGGTTTGTCTTAATGGTGCAGCCATGTTTGAAAAGGCCGGAGGCACAGAGCTGACCTCCACCGTGGTCATTCTGGATCTGCTGGATGTGAATCAGGGAGCTCAAGGACCTGAAAATCCAGACTCCCTTCCTCATAGGTGACTGTGATTTGTTTATTATTTATTATAAGTAAATGAAAGAAATTCTAGTTATCAGACCATTGTTTGTAATTCTTTGTTATATAATACTTTTTAATTGATTTGTATTCACTGAGAACACCCTAGGTCTAACGGGGAGAATGGTGTAAGTGTACAATTCTAAATAACTGGTTTGATGCTGATTTTCAGCCTTTGCTAAACTCTGTACCAGCTGTTACATTAATCGAGGTAGGCGTTCATGTGTAGCCTCATACAGCAAACGGCAAGACCTTTCAGTTAGCGGTTATTCCATTCATAATGTTCATAATGTTTAAAGTTCTTTGGAGATATTGCTTATTGTGAGATCTTTGACCCTAAATTCCTTGTCTCTTCTTCTGTCGTCTTGATATCAACAGAATACCATAAGTTCCATGAAAACATTAACACCACATTCAGGAGATGTATTTACAAACACCTTGCTTTTACCTGGCAGCCTTGTTTCACCTGAATGTTAATCTTAAACTGAAGGAGCTTTCTCTGATTGTGTATAATTGAGAATGAAAAGAACCCAATAGTATGACCTGATGGTTGGTCTTTTCACTTACTACTGAACTTCACTTTTTTTCTAAATAAATGTTCACAGTTTATTTTGGCTTTTAAACATTATGAGTATATTTAATAAAACATCTCTCCTGTGATTTTTTTTTCTGTTCTTCATAGGGATGCTATTGAAAAATTATTTCCTGATGCCATTAGAATGCGATTTGAAGACATTCAGCAGAACAATGACATAGTCCAGAGTCTCGCAGCCTTTCAGAAATACGGGAATGATCAGATTCCTTTAGCTCCTAATACAGGCCGAGTGAATCAGCAGAGAGGAGGAGGATTCTTTTCGGGAGTCCTCACAGCTTTAACTGGTGTGGCAGTAAGTTGATTGCTTTTTCTCTGTCCCCTACCCTCCCACGGCTTGTATTGAAATCGGTTCTATTGAAATACACCTAAATGATTGATGACATTGCTGCATGTGATAATTCAGTACATGCATTGAAATCTGCTGGGTTGTGTGATTCTTTGGGGATACTGCTTACTCAGAGTAGACAGCGTAGTTGTCAGAGCCCGGTGAATGTTAGCTTTATCTCATTTCATCTTCCTCATAGCCTGTGCAATAGGGACCATTATTATTCTTATTTCAGAGATAAGGAAATAGGTGATAAAACTGGAACTTGAGACAATGTCTGCCTTGATGATAGAGTCTTGAGCACACCCCTTAACTAACTTCTAGTGTAAATAAAAACTATTTCCTTTTCTTTTTAAGTTCCATGCAAAAGAAATCTAATGTTACACATTTTTCAGTAGAAAAGATACATGAGTTAGTTATGTTGGCCAGGTTGGCGGGGTCATGGGAGCAGTGCGCCCAGGTGTCCTGTGACGAGTCCTGCTGCTGTCTCTGTTCCCTCGAGGCCCAGCAATCATCAGACAGATGAGCCTGCCAAGAGCCGTGCCTCCCCAGAGCTGTGCCTCCCTATTCTCTAGCGGTGGCGTTGCCCTGCTTCTCTGTACAGACTTGGCATCATTCCCTGCGAGCTTAGCCTCTTCCCTTCCTTGCCTCACACTCACACATTTGGAAACTGGCATCTCCGACTTGTCTGTGTCTTAAGATCCCTGTCACTTCTCCCCAGGTGGTCCTGCTCGTGTATCACTGGAGCAGCAGGGAATCTGAGCATGACCTCCTGGTCCACAAGGCTGTGGCCAAGTGGACAGCAGAAGAAGTTGTCCTCTGGCTGGAGCAGCTGGGCCCTTGGGCCTCTCTCTACAGGGACAGGTTTTTATCTGAAAGAGTAAATGGAAGGTGAGGAACAAAACCTTTGACACATCACTGATATTTTTTAAAATAGCTTTATTGAGATATTATTTACATAGCAGAATGTTCACCATTTAAAGTGTACAATCAGTGGTTTTTAATATATTTATACATATGTACTGACATTACCACAGTCAAGTTTTAGAACATTTTCATCACCCCCAAATGAAAATCTTACCCTTTAGCAGTCCATCCTTGTTGCAATCCATCCTTGTTTTCTCCTCATTCCACCCCATGTGCCACCATTCTACCTTCTGTCTCTGTGGGTTTGCCTGTTCAGAGTATTTCATTAATGGTGTCATGCAACACGTGGCCTTGTCTGTCAGGCCTTTTTACTTAGCATCATGTTTTCAGGGTTTGTGCAGGTTGCAGCATGTGTCAGTGCTTCATTTTTATGGCTGAATAATATTCCACCTTGTGGTCATACTAGTTTATTTATCCATTCTTCAGCTGATGGGCGTTTGGGATGATTCCAGGCTGGAGCCATGGTAAACAATGCTACAGTGATCATTTGTGTACAAGTTATCGTGTGGTATATATTTCAGCACTCTCTAGAAGTAGAATTGCTGGGTCAGATGGTAACTCTATGTTTAACTTTTTGAGGAACTGTCAGATTGTTTCCCAAAGTATCTGTACCATTTTGTGTCACTTAAATTTTAATTTGTTGCTTTCTTATAAAACTAGCATATATTTATTATTTATTTCAAAATAACAACACAGAACTAAAGGATATTGGATGAAATACCTTGGGCTCCTACTCTTCAGAAAAAAACAGTTATCATCTGCTGGAGTCTATTCAGTTGATCTCTACCAAAACATATTTGGGTTGTTTCCTTTTCCTGTTCTAGGTAGCTTCATGCAACATTGTAGCAAGTGCTTGGAGGAACTCATTAATGTCAGGAACTTGCCAATCTCTGGGCTCTAAGAGGCCTGCCTCTGCCCATCAACAAACCCCTATCCGTTTAGAGCACTGTCCATCTTTACTGGGGCTGCTCCTTCCCTTGGAGGGACCGTGTAGGGATGTTACTTAGAACACCACACAGCTCGCAGAGTAGCAGCTCTCTAAGCTGCTTGTTTCAGACTTGAACTCCCCTCGCTGTCTCCCCTCCCACCCCAGTCACTTTTCCCTTCTGTACTGAGCTTCCACTGTTTGACTGTCCTTTGTGGAAACTAGAGTGCTCCCACTGTAATTGTCTAGGGGTTTTTGTTTGCTTTGTTTTGTTTTGTAAACATTATTGTGTTCCCTCCCACAGCCCAGAACTGTGGTTGTAAAAACAATTCTTTACCTAGATAATAAAAGATATCTTTGTATAACTGTCATTCTTCTGGAGGGAGATTCATAAAACTGGAACTGCTGGGTCAAAGGGAGTAAGTAAGCCTTTACCACCTACGTAAGCGTGACCGAATCACCCACGACAGGACGTCAGGGCACATTCCTCCAGTGGTGACTATAGTGGTCTCATCTGCCAGCGCACAGGGTGCTTCTTATGATGCGTCACTGCGGGTGGATTTGTGTTTTTCTCTCTTCTGTTTTTTAAGTTGATTTTTTCAATTGATTTTTAGAAATTGAAACATCGATTTATTGTTCTTCTTATTTATGCACTCATTGGGTGATGCCCTGACCAGGGATTCAATTGCAACATTGGTGTATCAGGTGACCCTTTAACCAACTGAGCTACCTGGCCAGAGCCAGATTTGTGTTTTCTGATGAAAGAGAACAGATAGGAGATCTACAATTATTTTTATTAAATAATTATCCCAAAGCAACTGCTACTAATGTCATGATGTTTTACTGGCTTTCTTTCCAATGTTTTTCCTGTTCACATACATACACACACACTTTAAAAAACAGAAATGTGTTGAGGGGTGGGGGATATAAGGGGACTAAAAAGTAATGTAAAAGAAATGACAAAAAGGATTAAATTTTTTTAATTTTTTATTTATTTTTAGATAGAGGGGAAGGGAAGGAGAAAGTGGGAGAGAGACATCAATGTGTGGTTGCCTCTCATGTGTCCCCTACTGGGGACCTGGCCTGAAACCCATGCATGTGCCCTGACTGGGAATCGAACCAGCGACCCTTTGCTTCACAGGCCCATGCTCAATCCACTGAGCTATACCAGCCAGGGCAGGATTAAATTTTTAATAAAACAGAAGTGTGCCCTGGCTGGTATGGTTCAGTGGATTGAGTGCCGGCCTGTGAACTGAAGGGTCACCAGTTTGATTCCCAGTCAGGTCACACACCTGGGTTGCAGGCCAGGTGTTCCCAGTAGGAGGTGCGCAAGAGGCAACCACACATTGATGTTTCTCTCCCTTTTTTTGTCCCTCGCTTCCCCTCTCTAAAAATAAACAAATAAAATCTTTCAAAAAATGTGGGAGAGGTCAGAGTGCATAGCTGAAAGATCAAAGGTCAGGAGCAAAGCAGCCCCGAGTATTCCTTGAGTAGGTCACTTTATTTCTCTGAGCCGGTTTTCTCATCCAAAAAATGGGCATGAGGCCACCCGCCCATAGAATTGTTAAATAGGTCAGTGATGATTTATGAAAGTATTTCAGATAGTCAGTGGCAAATAGTAAGTAGTTGTTTGCTATTATTAATGGTATTTCAGCCCTGGCCTGAGTGGCTTCAGTTGGCTAGATGTCATGGGACAGGGCAGAAGGTCACCACTCTGGTTCCTGGTTAGGGTATATGCCTGGGCTGTGGGCTGAGTCCCTGATTGGGGCACGTGTGAGAGACAGACCAGTTGGTGTTTCTCTCGTACATGAATGTTTCTGTCCCTCTTCTCTCCACTTCCCCTCTCTCTAGAAATAAAAAAATCTTTTAAAAAATTATATTTCATATTATAGTAGTTATCTTACCTCAAGGCTGAAGTATTTGTGTTAACATAGAACTCTGTGGAAAGTTTGCTTCCAGTACATAACCTCAGAAGAATTCTATTCCCTTCCCACCACAGATTGCTTTTAACTTTGACAGAGGAAGAATTTTCAAGGGCGCCATATACCATAGAAAACAGCAGCCACAGAAGAGCCATCCTCATGGAATTAGAGCGCGTCAAAGCCCTAGGCGTGAAACCCCCCCAAAATCTCTGGGAATATAAGGTGAACTCTTCATTTTTTTTTTAATTTTATTTTAATTGTTGTTCAAGTACAGTTTTCCTGTCTTTTACTCCCATTCAGCCCCCCCAACCCTCCCCATCTCCCTCCCATTTCCACCTCCCCCCCTTGTTTTTGACCATGTGTCCTTTATACTTGTTCCTATAAACCCTTCCCCTTTTCCCCTGAACTTTCTTCCCCTCTCCCTTCTGGTCACTGTCAGCAAGTAGGGAACAATGCAGCAATCACCTGCACACCCACTGCTTAAGAAAACATCACAGCCATGAGCGAAGCCCTGCCTCCCCACCCTCCGTATAGGTCCCACACTCCTACAGCCAGCTGCACCTCTTTTCCAGGCCTGTTTTCCTGCTTATATTATGTGTCTGCAAGTACTAGGAGCATGTTCCTGTAGATTTTCAACCTTAATGTATGAGGCACGAACTGAGCTTGTCTTTCTGCCAGTGGTGTCTGTCTCTTTGGCTCTCGTTTACTCATTTCCTCTTGTGCACAGTGTCACACAAGCACAACTAGGTGACAGTTTATGCATTCCCCTGTTGATGAATACTGAGATTGTTTCTATCTCTGCTCTTAGAAACTGCTGCTGTGGAAGTTCTTACACTTATACACAAGAGTTTCTTTATGGTGTACTGAGGAAGAAGGTTACTAGGTCATAAATCATGTACATCTTCACTAGATGGTGGTAAATTGTTCTTCAGTACAACTGCACCAACGGGTTCTCCTTCACAGAGAGGATTTTGCAAATACTGTACTATAAAACAAATATTCTATTTTTTAATTTGGGGTAGAGTATTTGGAATATTCTGACTAAGACTCTAAAAAAGACATCATGGAGAAAAAAAATTTTTTTAAATCATAAATAACCAGCAAGTTTATGGGAGGAAAATGCTCACTCGTAATTAAAGAAGTGTAAAAATAACCAGAAGGCATTTTTTTTACTTTTGTCAAGGATAAAGACACTCAATAATATAAAGAAAAAGGCACAAAATGTTTAGAATCTTTTTTTCATTTAACATATCATTAGCATTATCCGAAACTTCTTATGTTCATTTTTCAGTCCTTCAATATCTACTATAACATCATTACTTAATTTGCAGATTTTACATTTCTTTATCATGCACAATGCAACACCAAACATTTTGTGCATAAAGCCTTCTGCACTTCAGATTATACATTTTTAAGACTGATATATTTTGCAAAATTGCTTTCCAAAAAGGTTGTGTTCTATCAGCAGTGCTTCAGAGAATTCTTCCCATCACCCCTTCTCCCCACAGCTGTGGAGAGATTGGAACTTTATATAATGTAGCCTCAGGATTGACCACATAGCCTCTTGTCACCATTCATTCATTCCTTGTCTATGCAAACAACACAAAAAAAAAAGGCTGATGGCAGAGGGTGTGAGGTTGTAGATGTAATGTGGGTGGGAGCTGGCCATCATGGTGGTGACATGGCCTTGAGTCCACCTCATTCCCTGCAGGCTGTGAACCCAGGCAGGTCCCTGTTCCTGCTGTATGCCCTCAAGAGCTCCCCCCGACTCGGTCTGCTGTACCTCTACCTGTTTGACTACACGGACACCTTCCTACCCTTCATCCACACCATCTGCCCTCTGCAGGAAGACAGCTCTGGGGAAGACATCATCACCAAGCTTCTGGTAGGTCTGCAAAGTGCCTTGAATGAAGCTATTCTACCATTTCTCAGTGTGGTATGGAACTAGAGACATGGCTGTAGCCTATCATGGAAGAGCAAACAACAGCCAGTTTTCATTTGGATTTTGCAAGGAGAGCCCCTACAAAAGAAAATAAGAAGGAACTTCTCCACTCCCAGAAGCCTGTTTTGTTTCCAGCATTGCCTAGCAAGAGGTGTTGCCCTCTGGACTTGAAATATTTAGAGGGGGGAAACCAGCATTGCTTCTATTATAAAAGCTAGAACAGGTCCCGGTTGTTTGAGAGTTAGATTTATGAGTCTGCCAGCCTGGTAATCTGCCTCTCAATAGGATCCCCAAAGGATGATTTCTTGCCTTACCCCACAAGGCGAGGGTAGTGCCTGTCCTGTTGATCTCAGAACAGTAAGCTGTTGTCCAGCTCGTTGATGGGTGTCCTCACATCACCTAAGATGGTTACCTACCATGGCTCTTGTTTCTTCAGTGTGACCCATGAATCCTTCAGAGTTATTGGTGGATCCCATTGACTACAGGTGATTTCTGTATCTAGTTGGTCATTTGAGGGTACATTCTCTGCAATGCTGCTCTTGGGGCAGTCCCTCTGATCTGTTTATTTCAAAAAGTCACAGAGATACAGGAATTGTCATACATGACCCATACCCATAAATATTGAAATAGAATTCCTAAATCTTCAAATAACGTTTTTTAGACATTTCAGTCAAGTATCTGCCTATTGGACTTCAGCCTTGGAAGTAGTTTAAAGCCTGCTGATTAGCCCCTTTGCACAGTGTTCCTCTCATCACCCACTTCCCAGCTGTTACCTGCGCTTGCTGGACTGGGAGCACAGACCACCTGACCTTTCCATTTTAACAAGCCCCAACACCCCTGCCAGCTTATCAGGCTACCCTGTTTCTTGGAACACTCAGTGTCTGCTACGTCATACACAGTCTTGCTGCGCTTCCATTAGCTTCTGAATGCCTATGAGTTGTCTAAGTACTTCTGTTAATTTTCTCAAGGTTTGCGTTTAATTTTTCCATGACCCGTTATTCTGCCACAGCTAAGATGTTGAATTTGGGAAACTGAGCTACACATACAGCAGGGCAAAGTTTTTTAAATTGGTCAGTTTCAGTTTGTTTCAACCCCATTTTTTATGACTTACGCTTAGATTTTTACTTCTGAACTTCGACAATTATGTAACAACCATCTCCCAGTTCGACCTGTTTGGTAACATTTAGCCAATGTAAGATTATTACAAGGTGAGTTGATGAATGGAAATTTTATCTTAGATTGTTTGTGAGGGGTCGTTTTAATAAATGTAAAAACTCACTGAGATAACCGCAATACTATATTTTGTGTAAAATCCAGTCCTCGTAATTTGTGTGTCCGTTTTTTATTTGTTTGTATGTTATTTTTAAAGGATCTTAGAGAGCCCACATGGAAGCAGTGGAGAGAATTTCTTGTCAAATACTCCTTCCTTCCTTACCAGCTGATTGCTGAATTTGCTTGGGACTGGCTGGAAGTCCATTATTGGACATCACGGTTTCTCATTGTCAATGCCATGTTACTCTCAGTTCTGGAATTATTCTCCTTTTGGAGGATCTGGTCAAGGAGTGAGCTGAAGTAAGTGTGTTTTTATGTTGGAGATGGTTGGGGCAACAGAGACTAGAAAAGGTGTTTTTGAAGTGTTACTCAGACATGAAGACTCCTTGTCCTCTGGTTTAGAAACGCCTCCTTAAACAGCAAATAGGAAAAACTGCGTTGTATTGTGGGGTGGGAGGCTTTCACAGTGCTCATCATTAAAGTGTTTCTCCAGGTATCTTATCTCCACATAATCTCCCATGGAGTCCCTGGGGGTGGAGGCTGTGCCTGAAGAATTTTAATAATTAGGGAATAAGAAAGTGAGAAATGAGGGTACTTTTTCTCACCTTTTTGGAGAAACAGCATTGTGATAGAGCATAGAGATCTGATGAGGAATTCTGTAGACACGAGTTCTAATCCTGCCCTACCACCACCCGGAAGAGTAACAGTTTCTCTGAATGTATAAAATGAGAATTGGACTAAACAGCCACGAAGTTGGGGTGCTTGATTGCAAGTAACAGAAACCAGCCTAAGTTGGCTTTCCTGAAAAGAATAATGGCCAGTTAAGGCATCCTTTGGGGCTGGACCCAGAGACCTATGCTACCATTAGGACTGACTTTTTGTCTCCCACTCAAAGCTCTGCTCTTTGCTGTTTGTTCAGCCTCAGGCAGCTGTCTTCACGGGGGACCCCTCAGTCACTCCAGGCATAGGGCCGAGCAGCTTAGCAACGCTTGTGAGAGGAGAGCACTTTCCCTGTACTACTTTGAAAGTCTCAAGCTCACATGCCTTTGCTCTGATTGGTCCAGCCTGGGTCACATGCTCACCTGAACCCATCACTTGGTGCAGGGATATGCTCATTGAATTTACTGGGATGACCCTCCTGGGGACTCTTGTTGCTCAAGGCACACACTAATCCCCCAACCAGGGGCCAACTCCAACCCCACTCAGACCACATGGAAAAGAATGGGAAAGAGGCACCCCAAAGGAAAACTCAAAGTGTTTCCAGAAAAAAGGGGATGGCTGCTTGGCACGCAAAAGTAACACATCACCTCACCGCGATCCTTGAAGCCTGAAGCATCCTGTAACTCAGAGGGCTCTTGACTTTGTCAGTCAAGAGCAGCCTTAAAATAGTTCTGAGAACCTGACAAGAGTCTTCCTCATTTATTTCAATTTAGTGAACTGATGTCTTCGCACACAGTTCATTGAGCCCCTACAGTGTCCCTGGCTCCACTCTGGGCACTGCAGATCTTTTGATTAAAAAAGACAGACTGTCCGTACTCTGAAGGTATACGGCCTCTCAGAGAAAATATGTGTGTAAGATATATACAAATGTGACGCAGTGATGAAGCAGGTGGGGTTGGGGCTCTAACGGGGATCCCTCACCTGGTGTGGATAGAGCCCTGAGGCAGCACTGTGTCGGCCGCATCCTGGGAGTGGAAGATTGGTCAGGCAAAGGCACCGTCTCAGGGACAGAAAACAAGGTCCTCGCAGCCCAGGCGACCTGGCAAACAGCCCCGGGGCCGAGCACTTGGGTGTCATCATTAGGATCACCGTCACTATCCCACCTCTCAAATGCTTCTCTTCTTCTTTTAGGACTGTGCCTCAGAGGATGTGGAGCCATTTTTGGAAAGTCTCAACACAGGGGCTTTTTGTGGCCATGTTCTGGCCCCTCATTCCTCAGTTTGTTTGCAACTGTTTATTTTACTGGGCCCTGTACTTCAACCCAATTATTAACATTGATCTTGTGGTCAAGGAAGTCCGACGGCTGGAAACCCAAGTGTTGTGAGTGACACTGCTCAGGCTCTGAGGGACTCTTGCAGCCTCCCTGGCGGCTGAGCTTTGATGCTGAAGTGAAGGGGCAGTGGGGTGAGAAGTGACTTCCTGTTTCCTCTCCCTGGAGAACAAGGTGCTGCCTTCTCTGTCAAAGACTGTAACCAGGTCCTCTCTCCCTCTGCCTGTGCCATTGTGGCAGCAGGGACTGACGTCCCAGAGCTGGGCCAACACAGCAGTAGCACCTTGCACCTAACCGCCTTGCTCACACGAACTTAAGAGGCCCAGTCCACTACGGCCTGCAAGGACCCAGGGTTCTCAGAAGACGGGTGGGCGCCACCAGAAGGCTGCCGCATCAGCAGTCCCGCATGCCCTCACCCCAGTGACGAACAGAAGCTGCCGGGGCAGGCTGGAGTCCTGAGACTGAGCCCGGCCGGGCTTGTTGGCGCCAGGCCTGTCCTCTTAAGTCTAGTGTAGGAAAATGAGAGATTTTGTCGTAAGCATAGACAGTTGCACATAAAAAATACAGAGAAAAACCCAAAATCCAATAGACAATTCTTACTGAAAATGAGTTGCTAGGAAGTTGAAGAGTTAACCCTCTAAAGGATTTGGTCTGAGACTAGAATGATGGTTAGACTGAACCTGTTTCCCACTTCTGGTTTTGGAACGTTTGGACCCCTTTCTCGGGGTCGGGAGGGGTTGAGTGGGATGTCGGGATATTAACGGAGAATAATTCACACCAGGCTGAGCTGCCTCAGTGCTACTTAAAATTGGTTTTTTTTGGGGAGGGGGGGTTGCTTTGTTTGTTTTTAAGAATTTAATCTGTAAAATCCAGGATAGTTCTTTTGTTCGATGAAATATTTTATACATTGACCTCACACTGTATAATTTTTATCTCCTCATTCTGATATATAAAACAGCAAGTATCATTACACCAAATGCTGTAATTGTAAATGTGAATGAGATGAACTATGCCTCTTACTTCCTTCTGGTTTGAAAGCAGCAGGTGTGAAATGGGACCCATCTGAAGATGGGCCCGCAGAGATAAGCTTGCATCCAAAGTGTTTTTTGTGACTCCATGAACCATTCATTATTCCTTTGTATCTTTGAAGATTTCACTCAAACTTTGCATCTGAAAGTTTGAAGAAATTACTTGAAATAAAAACAAAGGTCTTTAATAAAGATAAAACTTCTAGAGAAAAATGTTCAGAAAACATGAAAATCAGAAATGTTCAATCAAACCTCCTAGTCCTGCTGAAGTCCCCCGGCTTCCCTGCCTGGCGGGAGCATTGCGCCACCACCCTTAAGTATCTTAAGTGAAAGGGGGGAGAATGTGTTTTTTCCTCAGGTGTTTGCTGTCAGGCCCCAGGGCTGCCTGACTTTACCTGCATGACACTCAACCTGCCAGAGACTGCACAGTACAGGTCTGAGCACACTGCAATATTCACAGCCCTGCTCTCCTACCTTCTGGGGTTCCTGTTCTCCTTTCCAGATAAAGAGATGGAGGTTGAGTGGCACTGGGGGTGCTGGGCCCAGGCTGGACCACAGGTTGCCTGACTCCCAGTCCATTGTCCCCCACACCCTCCCCACATCCTGCTGCAGAGGTGAGTGATACCCACATCTGCTCAGGGGAGCAGAGCAAAGGAGACCTGGCCCAGAGCACATGGTCTGAGCGGGACTTCCACTCTACTGCCAGTAGGAGGGACAGGCACCTCGGAGCCAGGGCCATAGCCGCCTCCCTCCCCTTGCACCCTCCCAATCACAGCAGGCTATATGCGTCCAAAGGGGGTGTCTATTTAAAATGTTCAGACCCTTTGATGTCAAAGAATTCCATTTCTGCAAACCTGGGTTAAGGAATAATGAAAAGGAGTAGTGGGGAATGGCAAAGATTTATTCAGAGGCATCACCAACCATGAATAATTTATCAAAGTAGGGAATATCACCAAATATTCTAAAGTTAGCAGTTTATAAAATGGTATCTAATGTAGCTCTTTCAAAATGTAGCTTTCAAGGATTTTTTTAATAGAGAAAAGCTTATAAAAACCATAAAATAAGTCTCAACTACATTTTTTAAAATTAAAGAAAATGCTCTGACTCATGTGGCATGGAGTCAGGGCAAAGCGAAAGGTCACTGGTTCAATTCCCAGTCAGGGCACATGCCTGAGTTGAGGCCAGTGCCTAGTTGGGGGCATGTGTGAGAGGAAACCAATTGAAAACATTGCTGTTTCTCTCTCTTCCTCCTTCTCTAAAAGTGAATGAATAAAATCCTTTAAAAAAAATAAAAATTACAGAAAAGACTCAAGAACAACACCCTAAGAAGCTAAAAATAGTTATTTTGGGCTGTTGGAATTGGAATAGTTTTTTCCCCTCCTTTTTATTTCTCTGTATTTACCCTTTTTTAACTCAGTGAGTATATCATACTTTTGTAACCAGGGAAAAAAATTTTAACTATTAAAGGTGGAGTAGGATGGGGAAGAATACTTTTTTTTTTTTTAGAATACTTTTTCTTGAGCTAACAACTGCTAGACTTGAACTTCACAAGGGTGTCATGTGGTTGTCTTGTTTATTGCCTCAACCCAGTACCTAGAACAAAGCCAGGCACTTAGCAGGTGTTTGTTCACCAAGGGTAGGTTAGAAGACAAGCTCAGCCTTTTCATACAGGTTGAACCTCAAAAATGGTACCAAACCCAATACAGTCATAAACACAGTTACAGTTTTATAAATAGACATGGGATTTTGACCTTAATCAAACTGGAAACCAAACAGGCTCCAGCCCCAAGTTCTGGGACGGACAGGGAAAGCAAACAGGTTGCAGCTTTAACTCAGTTCCCTCGTGCAAATAACTGAATATGGCTATTGATTAGTGAAAAGGAGTTTTATTTTCTTGTGCAAAAGAACATTTCAAGTCAAGCTAGTCAGTCACACTTGAGGGGGCCCTGCCTACATAAGAAACGTGGAAAGAAGAGGTACTTGAAATTGTACTCGGTTTGGGCTAAGCAGTAAGCAATCTCCTGGTCACACTTGCATAAGAGTTCTTGGCATTTGTCCTCTGTCGGTTCTGAAAGAAATGGGAAAACAGATTAGAGCGGAGAGTTGCACATAAACATGAGGGAAGCCAGCAACACTGTTGGCAGGAAGGGTCGCACATTGCATCTGTGTGATGTTTGACAGTTCACCAGTGATCATTGTCCTGGCAACTCCAGGAGGAAGGTGACGTTGGCCCCATTTTGCAGAGAAGGAAATTGAAGTTGTCAGAGATGTGATTTCAGAAGCAGAGTCCAAAGTCCACATGAACTTTTGGCTTCTCTTCTGCATCAACACTACACTATTTCATTTGAGGATCCATTTAGATAAGCAGTAGGGAACCCTCTGGGTCTTTTTTAGGAATGCCTGCTCTGCTACTTCTAGCTGTGTGATCTTGCCTAAACGACTCAGGTCTTCATTTTAAATGGGGCATTATTCACTGCAGGGGTCTCACCTATGTGAAGTACCCAGGAAAGACTTAGCATGCACTCGATCAGTGTTGGCTCCACCTGTATTTCTCTGCCTTCTTTCTCCAAGTCTCCTTCAGATGCTCCTTTGAGAAGAAGTTCCTTGTAGACAACGACCACATATCCATCTCTCCTCTCCATCCTGGCTGAGCCTGCCTTCTACAGAGGGGCATAGGCTGCCACCCAAAGATCGCCAATAAGTCTCCCTCTGTGTCCCTACTGTTTTTTTAATTGAGGAAAAGTTCCCATAACAAGATTTACCATTTTAGTAAATTCATGATGCTGTGTAATCATCACCTCTATCTGATCCTACTAAAACATTTCTATCACCCCAAAAGAGACCTTGTGTACATCAAGGTGTCACTCCCCATTAACCCTCTCCTGCGTCCCTGTCAACACTAATTTGGTTTTTGTCCCTATTAATGTGCCCATTCTGGATATTTCATATACTTGGGATCCTATACTTAGGTGGCCTTTTGTGTCCAGCTCCTTTCACTGAGTATCGCGTTTTCAAGGGTCACCCATGTTGTAGCAGGTTCACCTGCTTTATTTTCCAACACAGCAGTTATAAAAGCACTTGGTACAGACACAATCTCCCACTCTCCTCATTTTAGACTTCTGTCTTACCTAAAATGTAGCACGGAGGCTGGCAAAGTCAATTCTCGATAATATTTATTGGGAGAATACAGAAAAGCCTCTCATACAAACACAGCATCTAAGTTTTATTATTCCCATTTTACAGATGTGTAAAATGAGGCTCAGAGGGATTCAATAACTTGTCCAAGACCATAGGGCTGGGAAGGAGTGGACCAAGGACTCCCACCCAGGGTCTTCCGACCCAGTACCTGTATCTCCCTTGTGTTCCCATCCTCCTCTCAGAGCAAGAAAGACTCTTTCAAAAGCAACACTTGGTCTCCCTGCTCCATAGCCTCAGGAACCCAGCAGCATCATGTTATTCAATAATAAAAACTTAAAAGGAAAAATAGCTCCCAAGGGTTAAGTTTAAAATAAAGGCCTGCCAGTAAATATTATTATAGGCTTAAAAATTTTTTAATATATTTAAGTCAGGCCCATAAATGGAAAATGGGCCACACCTGTAATTAAGTAAACAACTATGTTCAGAATATCTCCAAAGAGAATAAGAGAATATTTTTAGCCAAAAATGCATAATAGATATTTTGGTTCTCTTCATTTGGTTCAGGGAGGGCAGTTCTGTAAACAGGCACAGACTCCACCAATAAATATTTTATAAACACTGTGTTCACATGGTTAGGGTAAGCAGAACATGCAAGCTGAAGGGGAGAAGGCAGAGATCTTTCACAGATTCCAGTTCAAGGCCCACTCCACCCCTCACTACCCCCACCGGAAGGGGGCAGCTTGGAGACAGGGAATGTGTCCAGCAGCAGGCACATCACCACCACGTTCAGCAGGTCACTTCTTTCCCTGGGCTTCAGTGTCTCCCACTCTAAATGAGAAGGCTGGATGAGATGATGCCTGGGGTGCTTTCAGTCCCAAATGTTAATATTATGTCTCAATATTACTTCAGCTTCACTCTTATGCCAGCTCCTAACTCATACTAAGAAGATATGGCTGAGGATCTGTGCATATTTAAGAACTTCCTTCTTATAACTCGTGATTGCCTCCTTTCCTCCAGAACAGACCAAGTTTCAGAAGAAAGAGTTTTAGAGGAAAGTTACACCAGAACTTCAGTTCTCTCTGGTGGGAGGTAGTGGGGTCAGAGAAGGGTCCAGATCAGGATGAGGAAGGGAGAAGAGATGGGAGAGACAAGGGATGGGATAAGCCCCTGTTTATCACACTATAAACCCTTCTTTTCATCTTCGAAACACCCATCTTCAAGGTAAGGAAACTGAGGGCCAGAAATGTCATCCATCTAGGGCCAAGAGATTTTCAACAAAAGAAAGAGGAGTTTCTTCAACAAATGGTACTGGGACAACTGGATATCCACATGCAGAAGAATGAAGTTGGACGCCTACCACAATCCATGCACAACAGTTCACTCAGCCCTGGCTGGGTGGCTCAGTTGGTTAGAGCATCTTCCCAATATGCCATGATTGCAGGTTCAGTCTCTGCTCAGGGCACATACAAGAAGCAACCAATGAATGCATCAATGAGGAGAACAACACAGTGATGATTCTCTCTCTCTCTAAAAATCAATTAAAAAAATTTTAAGAATATGAAAGCACCGGCTGGGTGTCATCCCGCAATGCAAAATGTTGCCAGTTCGACTGCCGGTCAGGCACACGCCTGGGTGGCAGGTTCAGTCAGTCACAGGCAACTGACTGATGTTATGTTCCTCTCTCATATTGATGCTTCTCTTCCTCTCTTTCTCCCTCCCTTCCCCTCTTGCTAAAAAAATAAAATAAAATAATAAAATAAACTCAAAGTGGGTCAGTGACCTAGACATAAGAATTCAAATGATAAAACTATTGGAAGGAAATGGGGGTAAATTCTCATGACCTTGGATCTAGCAATGCCTTCTTAGGCAGGATACCACAGGCATGATTAAGAAAAGACAAAATAGCCCTGGCTGGTGTAGCTCAGTGCATTGAGCACAGGCTGTGAATTAAAGGGTTGCCAGTTTGGTTCCCAGCCAGGGCACATGCCTGGGTTTCAGGCCAGGTCCCCAGTAGGGGCCACGTGAGAGGCAACTACACACTGATGTTTCTCTCCCTCTCTTTCTCCCTCCCTTCTCCCTCTCTAAAAATAAATAATAAATAAGAAAAAAAAGACAAAATAGAAACATTGGGCTTTATCAAAATCACAACGTTTGTACATAAAAAGATTATTTTAAAAAATACTTGTAAATCACATCTCTGTTAAGGATGCAGTACCCAGGCTATATAAAAACTCATAACTCAACAACAAAAATGACAAATAACCCAATTTAAAAATGAGCAAGAGACTTGAATGGACATTTCTCCAAAGATATAAAAATGTCCAAAAGCACATAAAAAGATGCTCAATGTCATTAGGGAAAAGAAAATCAAAACCACAGTGAGATATACTAATTACCCCCACTAATAAGATACCATCTGTCAGAAGGTCATCTGGCCATCTGTCATCCATCCACATTTTTATTTTATTTTGTTTTGATGCCTGTCAAAAGCAGTTTGCAGAGATCATATGAGGCTGTATATTCCTTCTCTTTTTACTTTCAATTCACAATTAACTCATGAAGACATTCTCTTTGTAAAATTTGAAAACATTACAAAGAACATTAAATCGCCTCCTACCATCATTCCCTTCAACCCAATTCTGTCCCCAGAGATGACCGCAGCTGTCCAAAGTTTATCTGTATGTTTTTCTGACCTCTGCATACGTCTACATTAGCCATGGAAAGTAGTACGGTACTGTTTACAAGCCTTTTTTCTTTTTTAACACAATAGTGCTTTATTGAATACGCTGTTCTGCAGTTTGCTTTTTCATTCAACATGTTTCCTTGTCCTTTCTTAACCTTATCCTTTCTTCAGGCTGCAGAGTCTTCCATCGTGAGGATACATCACGGATTTACATACCCAGGACCATCTGGAGGACATTTAGGTTGTTTATATCTGGTGTTATTTGCTTAGTATTAAAGATATTAGATAAATCCAAAGAGTGGCCTATGGAGAGTTGGAAGCAGTGGTAAGTTATTACAACTGGGACGCCCCAGGGACTTTCGGGGAGGTCACTGTGGGTGTTGCAGGGGGACTCACCACACTCAATGCGCTGGTCGACACATTTCCACAAGTAGGGCTCCAGCTTGGCCTGGCAGCCAGCCTCCTGCCGGGCGCGATAGTAGCAGCAGTCGTGATGATGGCAGCACCTGTGGATGGCAGACAAGCAGACCAGCTGGTAGGGAGAGGCAAGGGCTGCTCTCCCGGCCACCTTCCCAGGCAGGCCAGGGCTATGGGTGAGCATCTTCTGGTCCAGACTTTGTCCCTGAGAATCCTATCCTGGGAAATAATTCTGCTGACCCCACTATGTCCTGCACTGCCTCCATCCCAGCCATGTTTGAGCCTGGCCCCTGCCTGGGCCCCTCCTGCTTCACTCTCTGAACCTCTGAGCTCCAGCAGAACCTGTCTTCTCTCTGTTGCTAGAGTGAAGCTGCCTCCTGCCTGTGCCCTCTGCCTCCCGCCTGTCCCTCTGGGGACAACTTCATACCCACTCTTCCTCTTTTAGTCCCAGCCTAAGCCCCAGCCCCCATTCCCAGAATGTCCTCGGGCTCCCTACCTCCCAGCCTATAAAAGTGTCCTTGTTACACCCTCTCGTAAAACCAGGTTCCTTCCCTTCGGGGCAGGTTCATAATGATACCTTCATTAGCAAGATTAACATCTGTCCTCCTAATGACTAGAGCTCTAAAATGGATGTGGGACCATTTCTGTCTGGCTCCTCACCGTGTCACCAGCAACCAATCCAGCCTAGGGCCTGCTACATAATAGGATCTCAATAATAATTATTATTGTTATCGTTAATATTATTATTTAGTGATAACAATAATAATTATCATTTACTGTTGAAAAATTCTCTGAGGAACACCCACGCATGTTCCAAAATCTTGCCCATTATTCATTCATTCACTGGTATTACCTCTATCCAGCCACCGGCCCTGCCCTGTGTTGAACCCTCAGCTGAGTCTGGCAAGGACAGGTCAGCCAGATTCCGCTCTGCCCTCAAAGAGCCCCCAGTCGGGTGGGGGAGGCAAACAAGCTACCAGATGCTCATGCATAGTGAGAAGTTCTGGGATGTGCGGTAAGGAGAGCGGATTCTGGAAGCCAGAGCCAGAGGTGGTGCTATGCTCACCGGGGATTCAGAAAAGGCTTCCCAGAGGGGCTAATGCGTGATCTGCGTCTGGAAAGATACAGGAACCAGACAACCAACCAGAGTGTGGGAGGACGTGGCCAGCAGGAGCCTTGAAGGTACAAGGCTGAGTAAAGATTTGTTCGTGACAATCATATCCTCTAAGCTAGGAAAGACATAGTCAAATTCTGCCCTCGGCTACCTGTCAGCTGTGTGGAAACGGGAAACGGGGCAGCAGTGCCTCTCTGAGTCTCAGGTTAGCCATTGAAACAGGTTAGCCATTGTGCCTGTTTCCAAGGACGGCCAAAGGAGAAGTAGTCATGGAAAGATACATGCTCGCAACCTTGCACAGAACAGGCACTTCTCACGTGGTAGCAGAGTGCACTGATAAGGGCCATGAGGCCAGCAAGACTGCCGAGGTTCACATCCTAACCCCTACCCCTTACTCGCCATATGGTCCAAGTTACTTAATCTTTCTGTGCCTCAGTTTTCTCATCTTTGTAATGGGATTGTTGTGAGGATTAAAAAGGTGTTCTCAAAACAGGTCCTGGTGCACTTGAAGTCTGATCAACTTTGTTATTTATTTATTTTTTCTAGCCAAAGTAATCATCCTATAGCCAGATTGAAGAAGACAGCTGACGCCAAGGTTTGGCCTTATCGCCATGTTACCCAGGAGGCCCTCTGCCTGCAAGGTAGTACCATATGCTATTTCCTCATAGGCCTTAACTACCCCAGAGGGTGGGAGACATTTTAGCCTGGCCCAAGCATGAACTCACCAGTCAATGGCATCCAGGGGCTGGCCACGGCCACCCAGGCCACAATAGCAGCCATAGCTAACATAGGCTAGGGGGGTGCGGGAGCCAACACAGTTTATGGTTTCTGCCAGTTCTATCAGTCCGCGCCGGTGCACGTGTGACTTCAAGGAGGCTGGAGAGAAACAAAGGTGAGAGGCTGAAGGTCAGGTCTGCCTGGGCCCTGGGCCCTGGGGAAGGCCCTGCTGGCCTGAGAAGAGCCTAGATGACTGCCTGGTTTTGAATCCTGCTCCTCCTATTTCCAAGCTGTGTGACCTTGACAACTTATTCAAGCTCTCTGTGCCTTGTTTTCCTCATCTATAAAATAGGGGGATAAGTGTATCTCGTTTGATAAAATAAAGTGAGGCCATAAATGTAAAGCACCTGGCACATAACAAGCTCTAACTATTATCACCAATATCCTCAAGGCAGCCACGAAAGAGAAAACGACACAGAGCCACAGCATCTGGAAGATCCCACCACTGGGCCTGTGCATAGGCTAAGTCCCTCTTCCTGGAATGTCCTGATTCCCAATCTCCTGCCCTTGTCAATTCTAGACACAATCAGAGTCCAAGTTGGACACCAAATGTCTGTCCAGTTGCCTGTGAAGAGTACTGGACATCAGAGATGAGCTAAACAGGGTCCCTGCCACCAAGGAGAGCTCCTCTGTGTGGGTTTCCCTGTCCCTGGTTCTTCCCCCACCCCCTTCTGCTCCCAACTAACACCACCTCTTCTGTCAATCTCTGGTTCAGGGGCCTCTCAATCTCCTCTTACTTCACTGCCCAGGCCCTGCTTCCTCCCACACAGGGAGGCCCTGTGGCCCAAGCCCAGCCATGGCTCTGACACAGAGCAGTGCACAGTAGGTGCACTGAAAACCCTGCCTTTCACAGGTGAGCAAGAAGAGACATGGGCAGTAAGGATGAGCCCCGCAGCTGCACGCCAACAAGAAGCCGGCTGACCGGGGGCTCCAACCTAGGCTTCTGACTCTCAATCCAGCATTTGTCCCTCCTTGTCCAGGAACATCCGGGCAAGGAGGTCTGCCAGGGTGGCCGAGCTGAGGGGCACTGAGCAGACAGAGGCCACTCCTCAAAGCCAGGCACCTCCAAACCCACTGTAACCTGGGCATCAGAGAATCCCAGAGCAACTCCTCCTTCTGAAAGCAATGAGTCTATTCTTTCTGGCATGTGGTCAAAAACAAGTCAGGGCAATAACAGGTGATGCATTCCCTTGAATCTCGCCTTGCACCAGGCATCATCTGTGGTTAATGGCACAGCCTCCTTGTCTTGTGGGTAGCAGTAATCCCACTTACAGATAGGGACAGTGAGCCTGAGAGAGGAGAAAGGACCCTTCCCAGGTCCCGGGGCTGGTGAGCCTCAGAGCAGAAGCCCGCACCCAGGCCTGCCTGGTTCCTGAGAGTCCACTCTCCACTGCTCTGGGGCTGCCAGGACAGAGATGTATGCCTTGTATGTGGGCACCATGTCTCTTTTTTGTCTTTTTATCTAGAACAAGTTTTTATGACACTGACTTTTTTGAAGAATACTGAACCAAATTAAATCTAATTTTTTTTTCAGTGCAGAAAGTAGCATATTCATGTGGGGGGACAGAGAGGAGTTAAATATAAAACAAAATGTAAAAAAAAACAAGTTTAGACTTCAACGCTTCACCTTCCTTTCTGGATGACCAGTCCTTGCGCTCCCGGGACTTGCTGAGTGCTGCTCCCAGCTGCCCTGCCTCAAACCTCCCGTGGCTCCCACCGCCCTCCAGATAAAGCGCCAGGGGCCTGGCAGGAGCCCATCCCTCCCTCCTCGCCAGTGTCCTCTCTCAATGCCCACCCCACGGACTTGCTCATCATTGCCTGTTCCTCCAGTTACACTTCCCATCACATGTATCCTGTGCTGCAAATGCCCTTGCACCATCCTCACCCAGCTCGCCTGCTAGACTCTGCCTGCCCTCAGGTGACCACAGGGGCCCTTGTCACACTGTGCTGCTATCTGCTTATGCTAGTGACCTTCCAGCCTGGGAGCTCTTCGAGGACAGATCTCTGCCATAGGCAGCTTCAGCTCCCCTGGCACACACTGGGCTTCCAGGAAAGGTCCCTTGACTTCTGGATCCACCAAGCCCCAATTCAAGCATACCTGACAGGACCCCAGTCTTAATCCCATACCTCACAGCTGTCCCCAGAGGTCCCCCACCGTGACCTAACTATGTTCTGGCACTTCAGTGTCCTGGGTACAGCCCTATGGGGAACCCAAGCATGGGGCAGACGCCCAGCAGTGGGTTTGGAACCAAGGAAAACACTTCCTCCAGGCCAGCGTAGGTGGGGCAGGTCACTCTGGGGTCTGTTTGCTCTGTCTGCCCACGGCAGCCTCGCTGGGAGTGCCACGGCTGTCCTAGCTTCCTTCCTATCTTCCAGGGCCTGAGGGTGTGTGTGTGTGTGTGTGTGTGTGTGTGTGTGTTTTCCTTGGGGTACCTTTGCTTATGTCTGTGTGTGAGCTTGTTCATGAGCCATACACCTAAGTGTCCAGGTTAGGCTGGGGGTGTGAATGTATATAATGTGGTATCTATGTATTTTCCTGTGAATGTGTGTGCCTGTACACCCCAGAAATGGGCAGTCACTGAGGGGACCTCTCCAAGGATGGGTGAGTAGGTAGCCTTATGCTCTTCCCTGACCCCAGGTAGTGCTGAGCCTCTTCTTCCCCTGCTCCTCCCAGCCTCTGATGTCCACTCCCACCTCCCATGCCCCAGGGGCTGGTGGAGTGAACAGTCAGTTCACTGCACCCAGGGCCAGGTAAATGGGGAGGGTCTGGCCTGTGAAGAAGGATATGGTGATTGGAGGGGATGTTTAAATAGGACACTGAGCTTCCCTGAGCGCCGCCAAGGAAGGACTGGGCTAGACTTGGGTTCCTAGGAGAAGTTAATGAGTGGAAGTTCTTGGGGCGGGCTGGGGGACAGGGTTTTTAAAAACGTGTCAGTGAGGCAGAGAAAGGAGGGCTCAGGCTGCAGAGCTCCTGGGACCTTGGAAAGCTCTGGTAAGTTGGAGTCCTTGCAGAGGGGTGGGGAGCAGGAGTCCTGGGTCGGGAGAGAGGGTTGAAGGAGTCCCTGGAACTCCTGGGTCCCCTCGAGGGGCCCATTCCTCACTCACCTGCGCGGGGCAGGAGTCCGGGTACCAGTAGCAGCAGCAGAGGCAGCATTATTGGCTGGCACAGGGGCAGCTGACCCACAGGATGGAGGCAGGTGTGGGACGATCTGGCGGGCCACTGGATTCACCCAGCCCCGGCCGAACCCCCTCCCCCACGCCCCGCCCATTCCCGCTGCTGCCTTCACCTGCCCTCAGGGCCGGGCGGAGCCCGGTAAGGTCAGGCCCCTGGGGAGCCGAGAAAAGGAATGGGCGCCCGAGGCGTGAGAGAGAATCCAGCCTGGAAACTCTCAGAAGAGGGTTTGGGGGAATTACGGAGGAAAGGAGTTTAGAACAGATGAAGCCACAGAGTAAATTCGTAAAAAGTGTGCTGTGTTAATATTATCACTTGCGGCCCCCTCCCAGCGCTCACCTGGCCTCCAAAAGGAGAAGACTTGGAGGAGGGGGAAATACTGAAATTATTTGAAACACTTTAAATGTAGGAAACTTGGCGCTCCTGATACCTCTAGAAACCAGCTCTTTGCACCAGCCCCCACCACCGGTACAGTCGGGAGACCGTGGGGGTCAAAGATTTGCGGAAGGTCACACAGTGGGTTCTGCTTACAGACAGAGCTGAAATAGTGTAGGAGCCAAGCGAGCCCCGCACCCCTCACCCTTTCTAACTCAGGCTTCTCATCTGGGCAAGGGTAATAAGGCCTCCTCCAAAGGACGTGTGAGGCGAAGACAGACGCAGTAGCGGCTCAGCACTGAGAGGAGATGAGACCTGTGACACACATCCGTTCCCCTTTGTCCCTACCCAATGGCATCAGTTTCTGTTGATTTCTAGCCGTAACTGCTTCTGAGAGTGGAACCCTGGACTCCTCCCCTCGGACCACGGCCAAGCTCTAGTCAAAGTAATGGCAACTAACGATAGTCCTGTCTCACCAGCTACAACTGCGCTATAACGGCAGCAGGCGCATGTGCTCATCACGACCTCGGACCCCTGGCGCCCCCATTTCACAGGGAAAAACTGAGGCTCAGGGAAGCTAAGAACTGAGAATTGCGAGTGCCGAGATCCAAATCCATTACTGTATGGTGCCAAACCTCCATCTGCCTCCCGCTATGAAAACCTGAGGCATCAGACCACTGCTCTGCCTCTCTCGGAGTTACCGCCTCCCCACTGGAGTGAGCTCCTCAAGGCCAGGCCTGGCTCTCTCCTCTTGAAGCCCTGGCGTGAGTGTGCCTGGCACACAACAGGTGTTCAGTTAGGGCTTGTCCTTACAGATTATGGGTTTCAGACTCTCCAAAACAGGGGGTTAAAAAACATTTTCTTTCTTCTGAATCTCCCATGGGTAACGGGGGATAAAATAACCCACAAAAATCTGTGGAGAAAGACTTTTGCTTTCAAGGAATTTTCTAATCAATGTGCACAAAGAAAAAATTATTTATATTGATAATTCCTTATAATTAAAAAGTTAGGAAATCTGTTCTCAGTATTAAAACTTTTGCATCAAAAATTCTATTACTTTAACTGGTTAGCCTCAATCGTCTGCAAAGCTCATCCATACAGAATAATTTGTTCCTAATTATGCTCAATAACTGGGGCCTGGGGCCCATCACCAAATAGACTAATGTCCCGCACTCCATCAAAATTTACATGTTAAAAACAAATTATAAGTCATGTCTTCAAGAGCCTCAGTTGAAAGTACTGAGAGATGAGGGGGTATGGAAGAATGTGAATAGGATCAGAAATTGGTTCACTTCCTAAGGGTGAGTTGCACATGTCAATGACCTGTGCCCTAGTGTTGGTCTCAGTGTAGCCAGATCTTCGGTTTCGTCCCAGTTTACTGATAAAAGGTTGCTACAAATGTTCGGTGAGTGAAAGGATTTCTTCTTCTTTGTGGCAGAAGTGGGCACCCTTCTGTGACTGCAAGGTAAAATAACCACCCACACCAGGAAACGTGTGACTTGAGGGTTTCTCCAGCTCATGAGACCACGCAGAAGAGAATGGCGAATTCCGGTACAGACCAGCACGCCCTTTGCCCGAGTGACCTGTTTCTGGAAGTAGCTCTAAAAAAATAGACAAGATTTATTAACAAAATTGATCCTTTGCAAAGAGCAAAAACAAGTGAGAAGAAATCTCAATATCCAACAATAAAAAGAGTTAAATTATAAGATTTTTCCATGTGATAGAATATGCATTTATTCTAATAGAGTGTTTAAAAAAATATTTAATGGCCATTTAAAAATACTTTAAAAAAGTAGAAACTTACCATATAATTACAGACCATATGGCTGAAAGGGTGATGTGCATAAGTATATCTGCAAACACATACTGACTATAATACATAAATGGGGCTCCCTGGAGGGAGCAGGAGGAAGAGGGAAGAAAAAAGATAGGAAAACTGAATGAAATGTATTAAAATGTAATACCGGTTATCTTCTGGTGGTGGAGTTGCATGAATTTTTATCTTTGTCTCTTCATCCAAATTTTCATCAAAACGTAAACTTTCGTGATTCAGAAAAATTTAAACCCAATCTAGACTAACAAACTTTAATTCAATAAAGCACACCTCACTGGTGTGACTCAGTTAGTTGGGCATCATCCCATGAAGCCAAAGGTCACCGGTTCGCTTTCCGGTCAGAGCCAGGCCTGGGTTGCCGGCTGGTCACTGAAGGCAACTTTTAGATGCTTTTTTTTCTCACATCAGTGTTTCTTCCCCCTTTTTCTCCCTCCCTCTAAAAAGAAATAAATAAAATCTTTTGAAAAATAAAGCTTGTCTATTGAAAAAAGTCGTCTTGACATTATTCTAAAAACAGAGACACAACATAAAGATACCTATATTCATCAGTTTTTTATTTCTATTTTGCGATTTTTTAAAATAATTTTATTTATTTATTTTAGATGGGAAGGGAAGGAGAGACAGAGAGAAATATCAATGTATGGTTGCTTCTCATGTGACCCCTGCTGGGAACTGGCCTGCAACCCAGGCATGTGTCCTGACTGGGAATCGAACCGCAATCTGTTGGTTTGTAGGCCCGTGCTCAATCTACTGAGCTACACCAGCCAGGGCTGTTTTGTGATGTTTTAAAAAAAAACTTCATATTCTTGCAGTTAACACGGGTTGTGGGGAGGGAGAAGAGGGTGTTGTTTAATAAGTATGGCATAAATACATATGCATTTACCTTTTGAGCAGCAATACAATTTTAAGAATCTATGACAAACATACACTGGCAAAACTAGGACAGGACGCATGCTCAAGGCTATTATTCATTTTAACACCTATTATAGTAAAGTAGTGGAAGCAACAGAAATGCCTATCGACAGAGGAATAGTGCAGCCTTGCAATTTTAATAACTTTTAATCAGAACCAGTACTGTTTTTAAAGTATATATTTTTATTTATTTTAGGGGGGAGAAAGGAAGAGAGAAACATCAGTGTGTGAGAGAGACATCAATTGGTTGCCTCCCATACACACCCTGACCCAGGATCAAACCTGTAACCTAGGTATGTGCCCCGATTGGGATTTGAACCCCCAGTCTTTTGGTGTACAGGACGATGCTTCAACCAACTGAGCCACATCAGCCATAGCAGAAACAGTACAGTTTTTGTTGGGAACTGCCCTGCTTGGTTTCAGAAGCTGTAAGCCCCCATGGCTAAGGCTGAGTAAAGGACCTTGGGACCATAAGCCACATAGGAGACAAGGCTTTTCTTCCTTGTAGGGGCACCACCTCTGCCCCCTTTCTCTTCACCCTGCTTGGCCCCGAGTGGATGACTGGTTAGCCAACGATGGGTAAGATTCCCCAAAAGAGGGATGACCTAAGACAGGCATGGTCATGAAGGGACCCTCAGGGAAGGACTTGGGGGGCTATAGAAAAAGGAGGGGATGGACCCTTACCCCTTAGCTTTGACATAGCCTGAGTCCTCATTCTGCCTGCAAGAGGTCTCCTAATCTTTTGGCTGCCTGACTTCAGCCTGAAACAAAGCTGGACATGGATGTGGCCCTGTGCTGGAAAAGGCAGGTTCCCTAGGGCAATCAGGATTAAGAGAGAATGCAAAAAATCCTATGAAACCTACTTTGCTAATACCTTCTATTTAAATGATAAGAATCCAAGCAGGAAGTAAGTTTGTTCCCTAAAGTTTTATGGCCCTTTAACTAGCTGACCCTGACTCAGAATAAGCCCTCAGGGTTCTTTGAATGTTATCTATTGTTTAATCATTTCTGCCCGACAATAACTGATGAGCTTTACATATACATTCTGTATTCCTGTGCAAATCGAACCCAATAAAAGCTTGTCAAGGCAAGGGTCGAGGTGCTCTCCCCTTGAGAGAGAAGCTGTGCCATCCCTTTTCCTCTACAGGACTCAGTAGTCTGTGTGAATTTGTTTCATATCACCCATGATGCCACAGACCCCAGGAGCCGGGATCCACATCAGTTTTAATGAGGAAGCATTTTGCACATAGCTATGGGTGATCTCCAGAACATATTGTCAAGTAAAAAAAAAAAAAAATCAAGATGTAAAAAGGTATGTATATTAGGCCCTGTTCTGTTTTCAAAAGGTAAGGGGAGTATATAAATGCACATACACATAACTTGTTCTGTATATAAAAGTAACATTGGGAAGATAAACCAAAAATGAATTAAAATGATTGCCTAGGTTACCTGTAGGGAACAACAGAACAGACTGAAAAAAGGGTAAAAGGGAGACTTCTCTTTGTGTATATTATTTTATTACTTTTGACTGCAGATTCATGTAAAAACTTTACATAATTTGAGCCCTGGCTGGTGTAGCTCAGTGGATTGAGTACGGGCCTGTGAACCAGAGGACTGCAGTTCGATCAGGGCACATGCTTGGGTTGCAGGCAGGTTCCCTGCAGGCCAGTTCCCTGTAAGGGATGCACTAGAGGCAACCATACATTGATGTTTCTCTCCCTCTCTCCTTCCCCTCTAAAGATAAATAAATAAAATTTAAAAAAATTAAAAAAAAAACTTTACATAATTTGGAAAGTAAGCTAAAAGGATAATATCCCTAAAATAAAAACAAACAAATGAATCTATCTATGTAAATAGTAGGTAGATACCAACAAGAAGAATTATT